CATTACCAATTTTGTAAACTGAGGCTTCTAGTCTGTCAACAGAAACACTACAAACAAACAGCTTCAGTACACCTACGACTAATCAAAAAGGGCAATCCTCAATTTCCAACCGTATCAATGCGGCTCAGCTATTTGCAGACAAATGCGCACTTTTCTTGCGCAGGACCTCAAGTTTCAAAACGTCTGAAGGAACTTCTCAAACCATTTAAGATTGTTGAGGTTTAAATTAAAAATTTAGTTTTTAAACATGACCAAAACAATTAAAAAAATTATAGACACAACCATCGATGATTTAGCAAGTCACCGTAGATTATTACACTCCATAAAAAGTTTTTAGTCCAATAAAAACAACTCAGCAAATAATTTTTGCCAGAAAAAAGTCACTGCACAGTGTTTAAAAAAACATTGAAAGAGCAAACTTAATATCGACCGTAATAAAATGTTATTCTGAAGCAGATTAGAAAAGACAAACAATAGTAAGTTACAAATCTGTAATAAATTCACATATAGTTACAAAATTCAGTAACATTTTCAAAAAGAAAAAAAATTCCATATAACACAGAAGAATTGGTCAGAAAAAAATTTCCCATTAATACTAAGAAAGGTTCATCCATAAAAGAAACACAGAACTGTACAATCAAACGTGCAGAGGAAGGAGAAAAATGTAAAGACGCTAAGAAAAAGACCCGAACAAGCAAAAATTGTTTTCACAATGTGTCTGAGTTGTAGTAATCAACAAGAATAAAAGGTTTCAGCGAAATCAAATAACATTCATGTAAAAACTGATCACTGTACGAATTTTTTCAAAAGGTATAACAGTTACAACCAGTAACATCTTAGTAATAAGTTAATACAAACCAAAAACTTCAAAAATCTAATTATTTTCAAACACTGTAGTATAACAAAAATACAATATAAGCAACGTGAAGCAACAAAACAGTCTTATCCAGTATCCGCCTTGAGTTAGCATTTTTGCCTATATATATATATATATATATATATATATATATATATATAACGGAAGAATTAGCAAATGTAACACAAATTTAAGAACAGCCAAGATGGGGACCCATCCCAACTTTAGAAGTACAGAAACAAACCTCACAATATCTCTCCGGAAGTATACGAAAAAACAGCAACTTAAACCTATGCAACATAGCTTTCTGTTTTGCTTCGTGTAACACATATAAATTTTCCCGTTAAAAGTTTTTTACAAGGACCTTTGCTCTGTGCACTACTACTAACTTTTACCACACTCTCAGGTATTTTTGTATAACCTATTAATTCCTTTTCTCAAAAGTTCAAATAAATTCTTATTCTCCACCCCCTCTCTACTCCTGCCCAGCCTCTTGGAATTACTTCCAATTATTACTTTCTTGATATTTAACAATCCTTTTGCTTCTTTAAACGAAAGATTTTTTCGCTGTAATATTATTTCAAAGAAATGTCTATTTGAATTTTACTGCTGGCTACCAGTAACCTATTGTCTAGAGATCAGAAAATGTAACTGCTGTTTCTTCTTGTCAGTCTACTTGGCTCTATTCGTAAACGATGCAGCAATAATTGTTGAAAAAATCATTTTTTTTTTTTAAATTACTATCATTGTAATATCTTATGAGAGTAATTCCATAATAACTAAAAATTTTTAACGCTATTCCGCAGCACTCTTTTTCCTCAGGCTGTGCAATGATGCTTTTCCCACAATCAACTTGCCCTAACTGTTAACAAAGACCCATCAATCTGCTTAATCACAGAAATTACCAAATTATATTATAAGAGATACTTCTGAAAAGTGTGAAGAAATTTTTAAATATCTTCAACAGAGCTAAAGAAAAGAAGGGAAGCAAATGGGAAAACAGTAGACTACACTGGAGGTCCTTGTGTCACAGAGAGTTATTCCGAAATTATATTCCCAAAAAGAAAAGCCTAACTAAGACTTACTAAGCAACTGTCACCACAAGTCAACCCAACTGAATAGCTTTTCTGTAATTCAATGTCCCTCATTTTAAAGCGTGGCAAAAAATTTACAACCTGTGCATATCTATTTCATTAGATATTCTACTGTAGAGGCAACTTAATTAGCTAGGTCTGCTGTAACAGAATGCTGTCTACAAAAATGCCATAGCATTTTAGGTACGGTTGCTAGGTCTTGATACTAAGAGCCTTGATAACAGAGCTCAGTTTAACTGAGCGATGCCTCTTCGTCTATAGCCGTGAACGCGGAACCAAGTGTCAGTAGTAAGAAATTAACGGTGATATTGAGAGCAATCGAATCTACAGTCGACACTCGCGGTAGTCCGATTTTGTATATAAGCCACCTCGACAAAGTTTACAATTCCTGACTGCTGAAATCCCTAAAGAACGAATCAAATATGCAGATTGCTTTTGGAGATCCCAAAGATGATCAAATCAACAACGGTAAAAAAGTCAAGCTTTCTCAAGTTTTTCTGATAAATAGATCCACTGGCGAAGGTCATGATATAAACAGGCGGTTCAAAAAGAAGAAATCAAGGAAAAGATTATGATTTATGCTTTGTAAAGGTTTGAGGCCATTATATGCTTCAAGTTGACTCATGATAATCATGCTGCAAGTTATGAATTGTATTTTAAACCATTGGACTAAGTGCATGCTTTTTTGCGCACTCGCTAGATAAGTAGTTAGTCACAAACACCATCTTATAAAGCACGAGCAACAAAGAAAAAAACAATTAAGGCTTTTTAGATCCAACTCAAGACCCAAATTACTAACAATTCGTTCTATAGACCACTTTTTTTACTGACAATGCTCTACAGCAACTGAAGACGTCAGGACAAAGTTTGAAAATTCCGCATAAATACCAGATGAGTGATGTCCCCATGAAAACCCACTTCTTGCAGAAAGACGGATAGCAGCTACAGATGACGACGCATCATGTACAACTGAAGGTAATCAAGGTTCTCATTTTGCCTGTTGCTCTCTACTTATAGGCATAAATCCTGCCAATGTCATCTGGTTATCCCCTTCCTCCTGTTTTCCAGGCGATGATATCCTTAGAGCAAGCAAAGTATCAATTTTTTTCTTGTTCTTAGCCGGATGAGTACTGTTGCCTAGTGAAGAAGACTTCCAAGCCAGACTTATCTCAAGATAAAAACTAATAAACGACATACTAAAGTCAATTCAGAAACTGAAGCGGATTAGATGACTAACGCAAAAAGTGACGCAAAAAACCCCGAATCTAGATAAACAGAAATTTTCAAATAAGAGTCAACTTAAAGCGATATTAAAAGGCGACAATAGTTCTACTGGCGACCAAAAATTGCCGAAACAAATTGACCACTGACAACTAACCAGCAGCTCACTAAACAGACTCAAAATGAAACTTCCCCACTACGCTCCTCTAAGCAGACAAATGCAAGGCAAAAGTAGAATGCGCTAAAAGTCCTTTAGCTTTTAAAAATCATTATACATCTCGTACATCTACATAGCAAACAGAAAAATCCATTAGTAACAGCTAATTTTTATCACAAGCACACTACCATCCTCAAAATCAAAATTTTTAAACTAAATCTCCCCTACACCCAATCAATGGTAAAAGAATCCAATCAAATAACGTCCTAACTAGTGCCAATCAAATTTCAGATATTTTACACTCCTTTATTTTTTGACCTTAGAGTTCCAGTATTTCGTCAGCCGGGGCTCTTCTTTTCAAATCCACAGAGTTTTAGTTCTAACCTACAGCTTGGGAGCTATATCTAACACCCTTCAATTTGGTGATGCCGCACAACCTTCTAACAATTTGAATATGTACAATTTTCAGACTTTATGCTTCTAAACGCCAGTAATTAACACTGCCCTGATGCCTTTAAGCACCCCTCAAAGAAATGCTTCCACCTACAATACACACTTGTAGCACGCTCTAACAAAGTTAAAGTCCTCCTCATGCAATGACCTTCATTCACTTTGAAAATCGTCTTGAAATCTTCTGTTCCCTGCCAAATAATTTTATTAATGTAACCCTCTAGAAATCCTCAAAAACGAAATGATTCAAGTTAATGTGCATTTTAAGGTCCTGCTCCTCAAGTACTTTTCATACGCATTCTCATAAACCATGGTTGCCATTCCATCACTGTACCTCAGACTGAGTCCATACCCAAATAACAACATTTCTCGTGCCTCCAAAGATGTAAATTAAAGCATTTCAGCTAAACTAAAACAGATACCTTTGAAGAATGATCACTTTTCACATTCTTGTCGGTTCTATAAAAGTGATAAGCACACCTCCATTTGTTCCACACTAAATCGAGTTTCATATCACAACCCTTCCTACAATTCATTTACCGCAAGGTTAAACCTTCCCTAAGAGAATGAACAGCCACTTATCCTCAGCCAAATGAATACTTGCAAAATTCCTTACTTTAGTTTCACATCAATTTCAAAAATTTTGTTCTGAGCGATCCAAAAGTTAGCCAAATGACTGAAACTAAACGCAAAGAATATAGTTAAAAACCTGCCGTTTTCACCACTGGATGCAAAATTCTGACTTCTCGACTTAAAGTTTCCTCCTGTCTATGCATAAAGTTACAATAGGAAACTACCTCCAAAATCTATTCTGCCCTCAGAATATCGTATAACCGAGTCTTGAAAAAAGGTACGCAAGAATAGAAACGTTACAAAACTTAACTTGTAACTTTTAAGATGTCATTTCGAGATCGTTTGACTGCTGCCCAACAAAACAGAAAAAATTATGGAATATTAGATAACACTTCCACTGGCGACGAAACTTCATCCAAATTTTCATCTTGACAACACCGCGAAACCTTCGCTGCGAATTGGAAATGATGAGCTACAGTAAAATGCACCTAACCGTATATAAGAATTGAAAAAACCTATAGAAGAATAATCATTTTGATAAGCAGTTAGTGAATTACTGAAGATTAGTGGCAGTTAACAATAATCTTTCCTGTATTTTCCATCACAAAAAGATGACTAATCATACTCGAGAAATACGACCTATTACTAAAGTCAAATTTCCAGCACCGAGACTACGAAAAAAAAAAATAAAAAAATAGAAACACAGAAACTCAAGTTAATATTAATTCTTAAAACAAATGAACTAACCCTTGCAATCAAGTTTTTCATGAGCGCTTTTGTAACGACAGCAATTCCGACAAAAGAGAAATTTGCAACCTTGACTAGCAGGCATCGAGCATCTTAAGCACTTTATATATGTCTGTTTTCTACTTTTTGTCTTTTGATATCCTATCTGAAAAAAGAGCTTCATCGATGACTTTAAAAAACAAGATAATTTTCGTGCTGATGCCAAACAGTATCCTTCCCTCAAATAAATCTGATCATAAAAATCTGAGCCAAAAAAATCCGTAATCTTTATCATCTTCCTCGCTTTTTAAAACTTGCATCTTACGCCAAAAAACCTTAGTTTACACTTAATACCTGTGGGAATTCCATCCTAAAACCGTAATGTAAACTAGCATAGAAAATTTCAATCAAAATTGAAAAAACAACTTTTCTCTTTTCTCGTTTCCGTATCTGCCTCTTTGATAAACCAGTCTGCTCTGCAATTACTTCTAATTCTGCGCGACGACGTTCACGATAATCGCTTGTTGAGGCAGTAGAATCATCACGCTGGGGACGTAGATACGGCTTACAAATCCAGTGCGGTAACGACGATATGTACGACTCAAAACCCATGCCACTATCAAAGTTTTCCAAAGACTCGCCTGGGAGAAGAATAAATCACTTACTCGTATTAATCTTCAACTTTTTACTTGCTGATTCACAGAAGACTTATTAAACAACAAGAAAAAACTGCAACAAAATTCTTCAATAAAACCGTACGAATACGTGAAAGAGATTATTGGTGTAAGAGATCCAGAAGGGTATTTGGGAAGGATTTTCTTTACCTGGATCTGAATAATCAGGGGACAACTGTTTAACGCGAGCTTGAATTTCTGTTAGGATATCACAAAACTCAGGAATTGTGCAAACATATGACATCTTTTCACGAAGATCGGTGTACTCAAGAAGACTGAAATGTAAAAAAATCTGCTTCGATTTTTAACCAAAAATTAAACGTCTATGCTCGCTAAAATCCACAGGTTTCACGAAATATCTTAAATTTTTCAACAATTATCTCAAAGACAATTATTTCATATATTCAAAAAAATATTTCAGGTTTCAATTTTCACCGAGCGATTACTCAAGAAAGATGCCAAAACAAATAAAAAATAAACAAAAGTTTACAAGAACTAGAAATAAAAAAAAATTTTCCGGTGAATACAGAAGCATCAAACCTATAATGACAAATCCGAAACAAGTGTGCTCGTATCGCACTTATGTTTGCTTTGTACCGTTCAGCGTAATCAAGATACTCTTTCCCTATGACCCAATTTGGCTCGCATTTGTTTTCAAACAAAAGTGGATTTGATAGTACTCCTTCCGCACTCATCACAGCCTTCGCACCAGTTTCACTAAGACAACGTTCAATATCAGTAAAAATCTGAAAGAAAAACGCTGAAAGAAAAAAAACAAACAAATAAAAAAATTGTAAGAAAAATACAAAATGTACCTGGATATTTCCGTTTGCAATGACAGGAACGTCAACTGATTGACAAACTACACGTATCGCTTCCCAGTTTGCCAAGCCTGTGTGTGGACCTCGCTGTTCCCTGGTTCTACCATGGACCGTAAGCATAGAGGCTCCAGCTTTAACCAAATTCCTTAATCACAGCATGAAAAGATATTTTAATTGGGGAAGAAATATGTAGAGTTTGTAGTAATATTGTCAAAAAACCCATTTCACATCAACATATCGTGTTATCTATTTACTTATTTACTTATTCATTCATGTATATGATACCCATAATGCAAACAAAAGTTTCGTTTAAAAAGTTTCGACAGCTACCGACTTATTATGCATAAGTATAAAAACAAAATATAAAAATATATAAAAATAAAATATGGATACAAATATAAATAAATAAATGTATCTATTCATCTATCTAATA